AACTTCGCAAGGCTATATTATACGCATTTTACAACATTTTGCAACAAAACTTTGGAATATTACTAATTTTGTGATGCTCTTTCAAGCTGTGATGAAATTTTTGTCTAGATCGAAATTTTAGTTATAAGGGGAAAGGTCCACTGTAAATCAGATTATTCTGACACTGCAATCGACCAACGAAAAATTCGTTGGCTCGAGCGGGATTTGAACTCGCATCTTCGGGTATCTAGACAAGCGTTAAGTCGTCACGAAAATATTTCGTGCACTTAAATTGGATAAGACTCGCTACCAATCCCCGTTGACTCGATAGCTCGATGGGTAGAGCGGCGGTCTAGATACCCGAAGATGCGAGTTCAAATCCCGTTCGAGCCAACGAATTTTTCGTTGGTCGATTGCAGTGTCAGAATAATATGAAACTGGTTTAGTGGTTTTTCGTATCTCTGAGGATGGTTCTGAAATGTAAATCAGAGTTGCAAAGAGCGTTCCACCTTCCTCTGGCTAAAAATTCAAGTTCTGAAATCTTCCTCAAAATAATGTGGATTATGGCTTTTTTCAAATTACAAAAATATAAATTATGTCATTCAAAATCGGCTTCTTATTCTTACTTCAGTATACTGAATATTTTTCAATTTTTATTGTTTTCTGCTCAATATTTTCCAATGTGATAGTCATCTGGTATCGATGCAATCACAATATCAACATCCTGTAGCCTCATCCTTCTTTATAGACAAGTATCATTTATTTGTTTTATGGTGTTAGTGTTGAGTAGAGAGTTCCACAATAAACCTTCCTCACTGACCTCACATATGGCAACCTTCGTTTCGGGTGGAACCCGCATACCCGCAGCTTCTCTGCTATAAACATCGCAAATCCCGTATAGTTGTGGATATTTATTGACCAGACATAATTTTAGGTGTGGCCAGATGATACTACATCCTCTGCGAAGAGAGTGAGACTGAAGAAAGTGTTTGATGTTTTCTTTAAAGAGGATCAACCATTGATTGCTGTCGCAGACAGTCAGAACAGAGTTAAGGTAACGATGTTTCTAGTAAGGAGGAAATGACTCTTTCGATAGGGGGCGGTAAATTATATTAAGGGACTGCGTTCTCTATCTGCTGGTATACAATGTCCAAGTTTCTTTTACCAAATCATTCAATGTAATGTATTTTTGTTGTGCTTCAGATTTTCGAAGGAGTTCAAGGAAAAGAACTACGGTATAGCGAGTCGTACAATGCCAAAATTACTTGCCTCTTATTCTCATTGGATGGGAGCAAGGTTGCGATTGGCTTAGAGTCTGGAGAAATCAAGGTATCACTCTATATGATTTTTTTGTCTGTTTTATTGCGTTCACATTTTACCCATGCTTAATTAACGTTCGATATTTCAAGTATCATTTATTTCTGTTATATATTTATATATTCATTGTGCAAAAGTTGGAAGAGAAGATTCGTTAAACTTTTTTATCAAATTCCCCAAATCATAATTTCTGCACAGATTCTCGCAGTTCAAACCTGTCAGCTTCTTCTAAAGCTTGATGGACATGGTGGAAAAGTGTATTCAATAAATTACAACAGTTCTGGTTCCGTATTATTGTCCTGCTCTAAAGATGGAACTTTCATGGTAAGTAACCCTTTAAAACCAAAATGTTTTTCTTTGTGACCTCCGCCAGGAGGTAGTGTTTTCATCTTACCTGGGTTTGTATGTGTGTCTACAATATATGTATGTTTGTGTGGATGTGTGTCTATCTGTCAGCTCGACATTTTTGGAAAAATATCCAACGTATTAAATACGAAAATTTGTGGGGCTAGTAGAAATAGTGCAAGAACAAATCGATTACATTTTGGTTCAATTTGGGTGAAAATTGGATGAGAAATCTGCAATAGTTTCTCTTGCTTTGCCAGGAGTAAACTGAATGCGTGATTAGCCCATTGTATAGTTTATATATGATTGATGACATAATTTGTTGGCGGAGGTGTGCAGTCTCGGAGGTGTGCAGTCTCTGAGGTGTGCAGTCTCGGAGGTGTGCAGTCTCTGAGGTGTGCAGTCTCGGAGGTGTGCAGTCTCGGAGGTGTGCAGTCTCTGAGGTGTGCAGTCTCGGAGGTGTGCAGTCTCGGAGGTGTACAGTCTCGGAGGTATGCAGTCTCTGAGGTGTGCAGTCTCTGAGGTGTGCAGTCTCTGAGGTGTGCAGTCTCTGAGGTGTGCAGTCTCTGAGGTGTGCAGTCTCGGAGGTGTGCAGTCTCGGAGGTGTGCAGTCTCGGAGGTGTGCAGTCTCGGAGGTGTGCAGTCTCGGAGGTGTGCAGTCTCGGAGGTGTGCAGTCTCGGAGGTGTGCAGTCTCTGCAGGAGGTGTGCAGTAGGTGCAGTCTCTGAGGTGTGCAGTCTCTGAGGTGTGCAGTCTCTGAGTGCCCTCTGATTTTCTATTGTTACTGCTTTATTCTTGAATTTGTTATTTTTGTCAAGTTGCTATCTCATAGACCAATATTGGAGTAGATGCATGGATAATCAAAGTGACGATATATTATACACTTTTAATACATACCTAACCAGGAACGGTTGCGACGGAATTGCAGGGTCGCATGCTCCATTCCTGCCAGAGGACCTAGTGTCGCATTTTGTGCATAAGTGTATATATATCGTCACTTGAATTATGCATCTACTCCAATATTCAGTTTCAACCATGAAGTGAAGTGCAGACGAAATCTTTCTAGTATCACATACACCAACAGTGAAGTTTAATGTGGCCATCAATTTTTATACAAACAAGCCTTACGTTCTCTTTAGACGTGGGACTGTGAGTCTGGAAAGCCTTTGTTAGGTAAAGAACCACGACACGAAGAGGACGTTACTGTAGCATCATTCTTTGATAATGATAAGCGTATTGTGACTGCCTCTAAGGATGGCACCGCTAAGGTACAGTAAACTTCGGTTTAGGGTAGACAAACGTTCAAATTATTTACTTCTGGCGGACACTTCAAAGGGGGGGGGGGGCGGATTAGGTGGCCACCAAATGATCACCCTTTGTAGCCGGAACTCTTGGGTCTTTAAACGTTTCGCCTTAAATTTCATGTAATATACTGTAACAGTATACTGTACCTTAACCTATATCGCCTACCATGGTCAAAAAATAATTGTCACAGATTTGTTACAGCTATCCTATTCCGAAAAACCTACATGTATATCATTCTTTTTTTTTCTGTTTTTAGGTGTGGGACAGTGTGTCTGGAAATTTTTTGTTCACGTGTGTTCACGAAAGAAATCAATGGGTGTTGACCTGTGTTGTTTCATCAGATAATAAAAGGATTGTAACTGGCTCTGTTGAAAGCGTTGTCAAGGTACAGCGATTAATGCGTTTCTTCTTTTACCCAACTCTCTTCTCATACTGGGTATATCCATGCCTTGTCATGCATGTCTGCTGTCCGTCAACATTCGTTGTGTCGTGAGGAGAAAGAGCCACCTTTACATTGACATCATGCAGAAAATGGTCAGACTTTCGCGTCTTCTCGGATAAGGACGTTAAATCGTAGGTACCTCGGACCCCCTATCAATTGGGCAATTCACTCATCTGTGATTGAGTAACTCAATACACTCAAACTAACGCTCCATAATAATCAAACCTTCTTTATACACACTCAACCAAAGTGAGCTTGTACCTTTTATTCTACATGAGATTTCCGTTCTCAGTTGAGCTCACCTTATAGGACACAAGGATACCTTAGGGATCACCTTAGGACAAATTTTCAATGAATACTGCTGTGTGAAGAACAAATGTTTATCATCGGCTTACAACCACAACCACAACAACAACTGTTTACTGTAGATGTCGATAAGAGATCAACTCTTTTATTTTTCCTGTCAATATAGTTAGAAGGAAAACCGCCTGGTCTCTAATGTTTTTTATCTTCCTAATATTTGATTTGGTTTTTGGACAACTTGTTTTAGACATGGGATGCATCGACTGGGCAAGAGTTATTCAATGTAAAACCTCACAGTGATGTAGTAAGGTCTTTATCTATCAGCGAAGATAACGTAATATTCGCAAGTGGAAGTGATGATGGCACAGTTAAGGTATGTTTATTCATTTATTTATTATTTATTCAATTAAAAATATTATAGCAGAGTACGTATATTTTTACAAACGAATATTCTAGAAACCCACCACAATCCATTACCCATGCAGCATTCTGTTTAAACTTTAAAGCTCTTACATGTATTGTGGGTTATAACTTTCAACGTAACCAGAAAGTACACAAGCTGTTGTGTTCAAGAAACCTCTTAATCATTCTATCCATATATTTTTGAAGATTTCTAGTCTTGTGGACGGCAAGGTTTTGGCCTCATGCACTTCGCATACATACGCCTGGGTGACAGACATTGTTTTTGGAAAGAATTGTAAACAATTGGTCACAGTCGGTAATAATATTCAGGTTGGTTTTACTTTATATTATTCATAATCCTCGGGCCAAGGGGAAGGAAAGCATTAGCGAAGTTTGAGGTTCGTCAATAATCGCGACCACGTGGCCATGTTTCGTTGTGTGTGGGTGGTCTTCCTCACTGATCTCAATGTTGAAAATTATATACAATAACGCATGTCATTCTTATTTTGCTCAAAACTGGATTTTCCATTTTACCTTCGCTCGAAACGTCGAGTTTCTGCTTATTTTTTAAGATAGTAATATAACCACTCAGCACAGCTTATTTCGTAGGCCTACACTGTATGTAGAAGTCTTAAATGATTTAAAATGAAGTGTTAAACATTGGTTTAACATGAAGTGTGTGTTATTGGCCAACACTGGACGCAGACTCGCGTTTGGCGTCAAGCGTTGCCATGATAACACGATCATTATTAAATTTTTCGTTGCAGTGGCATGACACAGATGGCAAACTACTTCAACAGTTCTTTATAAAAGGCAGTCATTTACGTCGCATCAAATGTTCACCAGACTTTCGACTCTTCATCACAGTTGATAACGAAGGAGTTTTGTACATTCTGAAAGTGATCTCTTAACATGGGTAACAAGAGAGGTACCTAAAATAACATGCTTAATTTTCCATCGTGCGGCTCCATCGTGCTTTACGATGAGTTTTGACTATAATTGAATGGACAACATTAATTGAATTACCTGTACTACTATAGTATTTTGGCCTTATACACATTGAAAGTGATCACCACGAATAGAGTAGTACCGTAATTAATATGTTCAGACGACCTGAAAGTATCCAGCTAAAATTTACCAGTATTTGATGAAAAGATATGGCCAATTTTTTTCGAAAATCTGCTGACCTTATACATGTTGAAGATGATCTTTTAGCATGGCAAGTACTAAAGGTAGTTTGTAATTATTGAACTCGAAAGACCTGAAAACTACCAGCTACAGTATAAGTATGCTCATGCACATTTCTAAAATATGAGAAACATGTTTTTAAAAATACTCAGCAGGAATTTCTGTTATAACTGAGATAGTTATTCTCGTGGGTACAAATACCAGCCTAAAACGAACATGTTTTATGATTGTCTTGCTTGAACAAAAAAGTGATCAGTGTCTGCGACTCGTTCTTGTTTTATTGAATTGTGTTTTATTGTTATGTAATCAATATGTTATAATCGTTCACAAAGCCTGTTCGTATAGGTTGGTGCATGGCAACCCACGTTTTAAATTCATTCATCAACCACAATTTCCAATTAGGTAACCTACAATCCTGGTCAAAACCATCTGCTACACTCTACTGTACATTCCTCTGCGGCCTTTTTTTTCTGTTAGGCCGGAATAATTTACTCGTTTGTCTCCCTTCGCCCCCCAAAACAATGTTGGACATATTGCAATTGTTTTAACCGTATTCTGGGAATGCAATCATCATTGAATGGTGGGGGAAGGGGAAGGTTTTTTAAATTTGCAATAATATTACCAAGTTTTTTCAAATAATTGAAAGTGTAGCAGATATTTTGTCCAGGATTGTAGGTTTAATATAAACATTTGATTTTTACTCTCCACGTATCAGTCACTTATGAATACACTAATTTCCCAAGGGAATTAATTCCACATTCCTTTCTTGGAATGATGAAAATGGTAGAAATTTGGGATACGAAGCCGCTGTACATCAAGGCCAGCGGTAAGAATTCTGTCCAATAGTTCCCAGTCTTCCCCACCCCAACCTTTTTTGTACTTCTTCGTCTTCATTTTACCTAGTTTATCCCAATCAGATTTGTAAATTCCTACGAGAAGTAAAAAATAAAACAGAATTTCAAAATATATTGGTGTTGTCACAGTGTGTTGTTGAGGAACAACTTGGTTAAAGGGAATGGCAATATATTTTTTTATTTTCTCATCTAAAGAACGTTACTATCGGTTGAGGTGGCATAAATCCAATATACGCACACGGGAAGAATCAAATTCTTGCATAAATCTACACTAACATATAGATATTGAATTATCTTGTACTTCCATCGAAGTTCCAAACTCTATTCCATTTATTAGGCATTAATCAATTTTACCTAATATTCCATAACCAAATGTTTCCCAGAATCCTCTAGGAGGTTTTGTCGACGACGCAGGACTTCCACAATGTGATAGGCGGAACAGAACTGGGTTAAAAACCGTTTGGCCTTGTATCGTGTGCTAAATAGTAGGCAAATATCATTTAGTAGTGGTGAAAAATGAAGTATGAAAACTTAGATTAGATGAAGTAACAAAACCATGATACAGTATACTAAACATCTGAGTTGCAATCGCGAAGTTAGATCGAGTTGTCCTCTTCTTCGTTGTCCTCTTCATCTTTTTCCTCTGGGTTTTTCCTCTTCTATCTTAGCTATTTTTTGCCACCCATTGGCTTATGTCCAAACCTTCCCATTTTTTTCAAAGTAATGAAATCTTACCTTTCTTACAAGTTGTATTATTGTATCTGGTGCAAGAATATGAAGATCCATAAGAAAAATAATGCTATCTTGCTCTTTGATCTTCTTCACTGCAGATCGTATTGCTCTTCTTTTATCAAACACACCACGATGGCGCACAGTGCGAATACTTGGTAAACGATTACTGAAAGAAATGTGTTTACGAGTTGGGTGTCAATGAAGGGGAGTGAATGGGTTTCCTGGCTGGCTGGCATAAGATAAACATTTTCAGGTGGAAATGTATGATGATGGTGGAATGGAAATGTTTTTATTCCCCCATGATGGCATATCTCCGCGGATATCTGTTTGGTTCCCATTTCTAGTTTACGCCATTTGAATGCAGTTAATCATAACATCCATATGATGTTGAAAAGGCAATGCATTTTTTTTTATCTTTGTTTTTTAAAGGTGCTAAACATTCTTGAAGGAATTGTGTCATCTAATTCATTCTAGCTTTCTAGTAAAGTCGTGTCAATGAAAATAACAATGAACACGCGAATGTTCTTCATTAACATATATTTGAAGACGAACGAATATTTAAACTCTCTAGAACTAGGGAACAATACAAATTCAAGTAGGTTCTCTCTGCTTTCTAAAGAAAATTTGATTCAAAATTTGATATTCCAAAATCTTACCTTTGGAATTCCTCCATTAACTCCTCGTCATCATTTCCATATTTAGCGATGATTACATTGATATGCTTATCTTTCGTCTGTACATATATCTTCTCCATATTAGCAAGAAAATGACGTAACCATCTTGTCTGGCGCTTAGCAACGACGATGACGTTAACGGTTACATCCCAGTTAACGATATAACTTCGTGGAAGGCACAATGACGAGCGATTCTTGTCCATGTAAAGGTATCGAGAATCACGATATGTTGAATTTGTACGAGGGTCTTTGAGGATAGCATCAACCAAAAATAGCGAGTCATTCTTGATATCAAACCTTTCTTGGATATTCACCAAGTGATGGATTTTGAGGCTATATTTGAATTTTTTCTTTTGGAAATGATCTCTTGGTTCTGAACTCCTAAATAAGAAATGATTTGAAAATATTCTCAAATCGAAGTTGACCGAATTTACAGTAGTTCGTTAAGGGGTTATCCTTTATATTTCCCATGTTTGGCCACTTTTACAAAAATAAAAAATGGCTAAAAGTCAACAAGAAGTTAAGAGTGTAGACTTTGCTCGTCCTATGTTTGGCCACTTTTCAAAACGTTTCTTTTTTCACTAGAAATAAAATTTCCAATTTTTTCACACTTATTAAGGCTATAGCCTTATTTTGTTGCAATTTGTTGCCCTTTTTTAAAAACCGATAAAGGGCTACCGAAACAAAAACCGAAAAGAGCGTAAGGCTATAGCCTTAACTTTTCGTCCATTTTTGGCCACGTTTTTCACTTTTGAAAAAGGGGCAACAAATGACAAAAAAGTAAGGCTATATATAGCCTTACTTTTTTGCCATTTACCCCTTTTTTTCTAAAATGAAAAAGTGGCCAAAAATGGACAAAAAGTTAAGGCTATATCCTTGCACATTTTCCAGTTTTTGCCTATTTTTCAAAATAGAAAAAAGTGGCTAAAAATGAACAAAAAGTTAAGGCTTTCGCCTTTTTTTGTCATTTCCCCCCTTTTTTGAAAAGTGAAAAAAGTTGCAAGAAATGGACGAAAAGTTAAGGCTATAACCATACCTTTTTGACATTTGTTGTGCCCGTTTTTCAAAAATGAAAAAGTGGTCGAAAATGGACGAAAAGTTATGTATTAATATAATAAGTAAGGCTATATATAGCCTTATTAATCATACAGGTTAGAAGAAGAAGGTTAAGGTGAATAACCAGTGACATAACGTCCGAAACGAGCGAGTGGTCTAGTGGTAAACACTGCCGAATTTAATCTACCAACTGTGGTTCAAATCCTGCTGAGGTCATTTTATGATTTGAAAAGTGTTGATTATAATTATAGAGGTTAGAAGGAAAAAGGTTAAGGTGAATAAGTATATAATATCCAACAACCATCTAGTGGTAAATACAACAGGCTGTGGCATGTATCAGCTGTGTTTCAAGTCCTACAGAAGCCATTCTGTAATTTGAAAATGGTTGAATTTTTATTGAAAAAAATAAGGACGAGAACGGAGGCTTTAAGGCGAGAACGGAGGCTCGCGGTGTTTCACCGACTTATAGCACGATTGGCGAGGTGTTGTTACCCCAAATAGTTCTTGTGCGACGTAGGATCTGGTTAAACATGCCCACTTTAAATTCTTTAGTGCGAACGAGCATGCGCATTTTATCATTCTACGTCCCACAAGTGAAACAGCAAATGTTTTTGTATAAATTCGCTAAGTGCATGAGCATGAGAACTTTGGCTGTTTGTCCAGCTAATACTTGTAGGCGTCGGATGATATATTTTTGACGGGCCTGAGGTATTGACTGGTGGTTTCTTTCTCACCTGGAGACGGTATAGCGTTCATCTAGACGAGAAGGAGATTGTATAGTTGCTTAGGCAACTATAAATTGATTATTGTCCCCGGGATTACATATATATCTCGGCGTTTATAACTTGAACTTTAAAGAGGGTTGGATTTTAATTATACAATATAGAGCAAAAGGTTTAAGGTGAATAAGTTGCGTTAGGCTTCCAAAAACGAGCAAGTGGTCTAGTGGTATCTTCAACAAGCTGTGGCATGTATCAGCTGTGGTTCAAGTCCTACAGAAGTCATTTTGTGCCTTAGAATGTGGAGTAAAAAGTTTGGTGAATAAGTTTCGCTAGTCTTCCAACAACGAGCAAGTGGTCTAGTGGTAAAGACAACAGGCTTGTGTGTGATGTACAAGCTGTGGTTCAAGTCTTACAGGAGCATTTTTGTGACTTGAAATGCCGAGAAAAAATTAAGGTGAATAAGTTGCGCTATTTTTGCAACAAATTAATGAGCAAGTGGTCTAGTGGTAAAGACTACAGGCTTGTGTCATGTACCAGTTGTGGTTCAAATCTAACAGCAGCCGTTTTGTGATTCAATTGAAATGGTTGAATTTTAATAATACAAGCTAGAGAAAAAAATACGGTGAATAAGTTGCGCTAGGCTTCCGACAACGAGCAAGTGTTCTAGTGGTAAGACAACAACAGGCTTCTGTCATGTACCTGCTGTGGTTCAAGTCTAAGAGAAGTCATTTTGTGACTTGGAATGTGGAGAAAACATTAAGGTGAATAAGTTGCCGGAGTCTTCCAACAACGAGCAAGTGGTCTAGTGGTAAAGACAACAGGCTTGTGTGTGGTGTACAAGCTGTGGTTCAAGTCTTACAGGAGCCCTTTTGTGACTTGGAATGTGGAGAAAAAATTAAGGTGAATAAGTTGCGCTAGTCTTCCAACAATGAGCAAGTGGTCTAGTGGTAAAGACAACTGGCTTCTGTCATGTACCAGTTGTGGTTCAAATCTAACAGAAGCCGTTTTGTGATTCAACTGAAATGGTTGAATTTTAATAATACAAGCTAGAGAAAAAAATACGGTGAATAAGTTGCGCTAGGCTTCCGACAACGAGCAAGTGGTCTAGTGGTAAAGACAACATGCATGTACCGGGTCTGGATCAAGTCTAACAGAAGCCATTTTGTGACTTTAATATTAACATAGCGAATAATATTAACTTTCACGTCTTTTTCGATTACACAGCTGGAAAACCTGCTTTTTACCTCCACGGACAAGTCTAGTGATGCACGAGTAAGGCATCGACAGAAATCCTGTTGATCATAGATTCCAAAAGTAGAATTTTCAGACTGGCCCAAATTCAATTCTCTGCTACAGGAGCCTTGAAATTTAATAGAACATAAGGTTCGAAACGGCATAATACTAACTTTCACGTCTTTTTCGAGTACACATGCAGCTGGAAAAACATGCTTTTTATCTCCACAAACTGTCTAGTTATCCAAGAATGGGGCATCAGCAGAAAGCCTATGGATCGTAGATTCCAAAAATACAATTTTCAGACCGTGCCAAATTCAAGTTATTGCTATACAAGTGGCCTTGAAATACAAAAGAACGTAAGATTCGAAAGCGCATAATATTAACTTTCATGTCTTTTACCATTACACATGCAGCTGGAAAAACATGCTTATTATCTCCACAAACTTTCTAGTTATCCAAGAATGAGGCATCAACAGAAAGCCTATTGATCGTAGATTCCAAAAATACAATTTTCAGACCGTGCCAAATTCAAATTATTGCTACAAGTGGCCTTGAAATACAAAAGAACGTAAGATTCGAAAGCGCATAATATTAACTTTCACGTCTTTTTCGATAACACATGCAGCTGGAAAAACATGCTTTTTATCTCCACAAACTGTATAGTTATCCAAGAATGGGGCATCAGCAGAAAGCCTATTGATCGTAGATTCCAAAAATACAATTTTCAGACCGTGCCAAATTCAAGTTATTGCTTCAAGGGGCCTTGAAATACAAAAGAACATAAGATTCGAAAGCGCATAATATTAGCTTTCATGTCTTTTTCGATTACACAGCTGGAAAAACCTGCTTTTTACCTCCACGCACAAGTCTAGTGATGCACGAGTAATGCATCGACGGAAAGCCTAATGATCATAGATTCCAAAAATACAATTTTCACATTGGCCCAAATTCAAGTCTCTGCTACAGGAGCATTGAAATTCAATAGAAAATAAGGTTCGAAATGGCATAATATTAACTTTCTCGTCTTTTTCGAGTACACATGCAGCTGGAAAAACATCCTTTTTATCTCCACAAACTGTCTAGTTATCCAAGAATGGGGCATCAGCAGAAAGCCTATTGATCGTAGATTCCAAAAATACAATTTTCAGACCGTGCCAAATTCAAGTTATTGCTACAAGTGGCCTTGAAATACAAAAGAACGTAAGATTCGAAAGCGCATAATATTAACTTTCACGTCTTTTTCGATTACAGATGCAGCTGCAAAAACATACTTATTATCTCCACAAACTGTCTAGTTATCCAAGAATGAGGCATCAACAGAAAGCCTATTGATCGTAGATTCCAAAAATATAATTTTCAGACCGTGCCAAATTCAAGTTATTGCTACAAGTGGCCTTGAAATACAAAAGAACGTAAGATTCGAAAGCGCATAATATTAACTTTCACGTCTTTTTCGATTACAGATGCAGCTGCAAAAACATACTTATTATC